ACCGGCCTCAACAACATACTTCTCTTTAATCACCACATTCTGTGAATAGATTTAACTTATTTTTCTCTTCTTTCCAGATCTAATTCTATTATCTAATCTGGCCCTAATCATCAGTCTATGTTCTTTCAGGATCCACTGAGCTGGCCTGAATGAGTCCAGATTCTATTCCTTTCAATCACCTGGCCTATTGTGACCAGAATAATCCATTTTCAAATCCATCTGTGTTTTTTTTTTCTTTGTGAGCAAGTGAAGCTTTCTTTGCTTCTCTTTCAAGGTCCTACATGTTCTTTACTCTCAGACTCTTCTCTCATCTCATGCTCCAAGCCCCCAACTTCCCAGCACACAAAGCTATTATGGTGCTCAGCCCAAATACACTCTACAGAGCTGATGTATTCATCTCATCCTCAACCCTTGACCCCCACTGGACAGATAAGCTGCTGATGACTCATGGCTTGTCTCTCACTGAGAGTTGCCCTGAATGGATGGAAATTCACGGCCACTTCTGGTAATGGCCAGTGACAAATCAAAATTTCATCCCAGCTCTAAAACTTCTTATAGGATAATACAGGATATTAATTGCAATCATATTGCGTTTTCAGCTGCACAGTCCTATTTTTCTCACTTCCTTATGGGTCTATGCTCTGCAAGCATTTCCCTTTAGGCTTCTGATCACCTTTTGTCCCAGCATTTGGGAAAACAGTCTGGGACAGGCATTTTGAAGAGTGGTCCAAGGAAGAATAACATGTGATTTGGAGATTAATCACTTCCTGGTCAATTGCCAATGGTAGTCCCTGGCGTGCTTTAGCAGTGTATTGTTAGAACCTTCTCCAGGGTGAACTGGGATTGGATTGGATTGGATTGCTGGAGGGGGGACTCACCAGCTGGTACAATAATAACTTTTGGTACTTAGAGGCTATGTGGGGCAAAGTGACTATTGGGACTTAGGGATCGGTGACCTAAGTGGCATTGATTTGTTGAAGAGATAATAGGACTAAGGTGATTAATCAACAACTCAAGAAGGATGTGAAAGTCATAGATAACTTACATTGACAGCATTTATTTAAACTCACACAGTCTCCTGCAGTCAGACGAGGCATTTTCCCTAAGAGGAATGCTATCTGAGAGAAATTTGCATTCTCAGCTCTGACGAGTCTCTCTTGCCAAATTCGGTCTCTAATGGGGGAGGGGTGGAACCCTGAAAATGGGGGAGGAATACATGAGTACATGCAGGTGAGAATCTCAAACTCCCAAATTCCCTTGAACGCATAAGAACTGCTCTTGAGCTCACACCCTACTGGAGATTTGCTGGGTTGACTAAGGGAGGACCGAGAGTATACCATGAAGTCACTACAGGAGCCAGGAGAAGCAGCTTGGGAAGGTGTCCTGAGGCAGCTAGATCAAGGAAGGAGAGCAGAACAGTAAGTTGGATAAGGGATGCTTTTCACCCTGGAGCACGTGCTCATGATTCAGGATTTAACACTATGGCAAATACCCAAGATAAGCTTCTGCGGGGCTGGGGGATGGGGATGGGGATTGTGCAGTATTGTGACATGGTAGGTAAAGCTGCCTGTGATGCCGGTATCCCATATGGGTGCTCATTCACGTCCCAGCTGCTCCACCTGCGATCCAGCTCCCTGCTGATGTGCCTGGGAAAGCAGCAGTGCTTTGGTCCTAGTGCTTTGGCCCCAGCACATGGGACACCAAGAAGGAGCTCCTGGCTCCTGGCTTCGGCCTGGCCCAGCCTTGCCATTGCAGACATTTGGGGAGTAAGCTGTATGGAAGGTCTCCCTCTGTTTCTCTTTGTGACTCAGCCTATCAAGGAAATAAAACAAATCTTAAAAGAAAAAAAAGTAATAACCTGCTATGATGATTCTTGGAGGATCACAAAAGCTAATATCCATATTCACTGTAATAAAAATGCTGAAGCTTCCATAGTGTATGGTGGAGAAAAAGATCCAAAGGATCAGAGAAGTGGGCATGCAAAGGTAGATTTGCCATGTAAAGCTAAAAAAGAAAAAACAACAACAACAACAACAACAACTACATTTCCAGGTAGGCTCTTCTTTCCAACACAATGGTGTCTGTGCTTCTGAAAGTGAAAGAAGCAGCATTACCGAGAAGCTCAGTAGTGCCCATTGTTGGCAGGTCAGGGCTAATTGTTGAAAGAGATTTTGTCAAAAAACTAGGCTCCCTAATGGACAGGAGAGTCACAAATTCTCAAAATAATATATACAAGGCTGTAATGCTTATATAGGCACAAAGTATGCAATGCTAAATATAGTAACATCCAGTGGGTACCAGCTTGGAGATGGTTAAGAAAACCATGGTATTCCTGGAGCCAAAACAGGTGAGCTGCAAACAAAGGTACACCTTAATTTACAAATTAATTTCAAAAGAAATAAATGGGAGATGATCAAAGGCAGAAGGCAGAATATGAAAAAAGCCACAATGTCTTGCCAAATCAGACATGGAATCAATCCATTGGCTTAAGGAATAACGGATTCCTTATGAGTAAAGACCCTGTGATGCTAATGAAAACTATTCATTTATTATTTTCCCAATCCTTAACCTATGTTTTGGAGAAAAGAACAATACTCAACACTGTTGAGAGTTTTTAAGTACTGGGTCTGAATTGATAGAGATATCTGGAGACTCAATGAACCACTATGACTTCCTACAAAAGTCTGAAAATATAGGGCCTACTAAAATACTAGCCAAAGTCTGGCTCTCAGTGGGCACCCTGATCCATGACCCACCCCAGTGACCCTTTCCCCATTTCCAAATGAATGAGTGGAATCACATACTTTGTACCTTGAAGAACCCTCAAATTGATTCTTGATGTCTTAAGTAAGAGGTATGGTAGTTGAGAGGGAGAAGTATAGACCTCTGAAGCTGTTCCCCACCCCTAGCAAAAAGAATAAATCAGAAATAATACTAAAATTCCACAAGGAATGGGTCAATTAGCTCCTATCATAGTCCCATTTCCAAAAAGGTCAAAAAAATGCATGAAATTAAAATTTTTACATCAAAATAAACATTATAATTCCATTTTTAAAGTGCCCTCATCTTCACCATGCTGGCTTCTGCAAAAATTAAATGGAACATGGCAGAAGACGGCAACAGCCTCAGTTGCTACTGCACTTAGTATGATCTTTGCTAGAGTAGGTTAAAATAACCTTCAGCACCTGACCTAGAAAATGTACTTTTTTGTCATACCTATCAGGAAGGAGAACAAGATATACTCTGCCTTCTCTTGAGATGAAAAACAGTTTATGTTTATGGTCTTTCCTGCCTTCTATGCAAGTTCTTATATGCTTTGCCAAAATGCAGACTGTAGAACCTGAATTTTGTGGACATATTGTAAAACACTACACTGACCCAACATTTGATTGACATGATATAATAGGACAATACGGGAGATGTGAAGCAAGTATGTTGGAAGACTTGGGAAGAACATGCAGCCCACACTTCAGAGAGATGGTGATAAATCCTTTTAAAGATTCAGGAGATTTGTGATTCCAGAGTAGAATACACACATTTTCCCTATTTCTCCCTTTTAAATCCTTTTTTTTTTTTTTTCTAAAAAAAAAAGGGATGAAAGGGGCCGGCGCTATGGTGTAGCAGGTAAAGCTGCCACCTGTAGTGACAGCATCCCATATGGACGGCAGTTCAAGTCCCAGCTGCTCCACTCCCAATTCAGCTCTTTGTTATGGCCTGGGAAAGCATGGAAGATGACCCAAGTCCTCAGGCCCCTGCACCCATGTGGGAGAGCCGGAAGAAGCTCCTGGTTTCCTGGCTTCCTGCAGCCAGTTGGAGAGTGAACTAGTGGATGATAGACCTCTCTCTCTTTCTCTCTCTCTCTCTCTTTCTGCTTCTCCTTCTCTCTGTGTGTAACTCTGACTTTCAAATAAATAATAAACAAATCTTTAAAAAAAGAGGCAGACCAGATAGGAAATTTTGGGTTTAAGCAATGATCTTACAGTGAATTCTCTGATTGTGTATTGTCTAATTTTCTCATACTAGAAAAGCCAGTAACCCAGAAATAGTAATAGATACAAACAACAGCAAAAACATAATGATTTCCCAGTCTTCACCTTCTTAATGAGCGGTGACAGTCAAATTGTGATGAGGGTGGCAAGGGTAGGGGTTAAGGGGTATTCAGAAGATAGCCTGATGAACAAATGGTAGTTCCATCATTTATGATTTGATCTTATTGTCATCTCTCATGTAGACATGGGTAATCAGTGATGACAGGTCAACCATTAAATAGAGCTTTTCATGAAGAGTTAAATTCTGGGTTATTCAATCCATAACAAATTTTCATTTGTTTTGACTTTGTAACTTAAAAATCAGTTAACTTCAGAAACAAGTGAATTGGGATATTATCATCCAAAGTGGAACATTTTGTCCCCTTTAATAAACTCAGATAATTATTCATGTTAAAGTAAATTAAATTTAATTCCTTCAAATTCTATACAGTGAATCAATCATGTGTCTTTGAGGGACAGATAAATCAATTCAAAGGAAAATAGAAACACTGTGAAACTAAGAAATATTTAAATTAAGAAATGGGACACTATGAGAAGAAACTGAACAAAACTCAGGACACGGTCTGGCTTGCTGTTGAGACTAGGGCAGTGCAGCAGCTGCTAAAAGGAAGGCAAGGCTTACAGCAGGCGTCTATTTCAGCAGTTTCTCAAGGAGTCCTCATTCAGTATTTCTAATTCGAAGAACAGTGAGAATATTCTGTTCTCAGCTGGTGTGGGAACTGGAAGGTGCCTGGGGCTTCAGACACCAGGATTGCGAGACACTCCCACCACCTCTACTCCATGGATGACAGTTTCTGATTCACTTTGTAAATGCCAAACCCCAAAGTATATCATTTAATATAGGTTAGGGGCTGACCTCACGGTGGCTGGACAAAAGCATTCTGAACGCACAGTGATCCTTCAGTGCCCAATGAAACACCTGCAGGATCCACTCTGCACATCACACCAGGGTCACATATAATCCTAAAGTATCTTTATTTGTTCTATAATTTAATAGTATACCTATAAAATAATTACATTATACTTATAACTTTTCTTCATTTATAAACAAAACAGAAAAACAATTAAATACAATTTTAGCCATTATAAGGTAAACTTTATACATACAATAACCCCCAGAAGGAGCTTCACACTGCAGCATATCATATTGCTTCCATTGCTACACCCACACTTGGGTTCAAAGACAGTGTGCTTATGTGTGTGTTCTGTGAATTCTTAGCGTAATCCTTCCACTATCTGTGTGGGTTCTGTGTCATTAAAATGATAGAGCTTGGCTTGGCAGTTGGGTCGGATACTCCTGTCCATTACCCTCCTACTCATTTCACCTCCATGTGATCACATGGATTTCCTTCCTTCACTTCTTTTCTGCCACATGTCCTGCCACTAAATCTTTCTTGAGATTTTCCACTAAAGGTGGAAATCAGCTTTGACCTTGGACCTCCTCTCCATCCCTAGGTTCTAACCCTCAAGGGTTTCGTCCTAATTCTACCTCCTGATACCAGGCTGCCTCTACCCATTGCTGAAGCCAGGGCCCCCTATACAATAGTACATTCTATTCAGGTCTCATGGTGTTATAAATGCAGCAGAATGAAACTTGCCGTGCAGACACAGGAAACAGATTCACCAACATGCTGCACCCCGATCCTTGTTCTCCTGGTGAATGTGTCTAGATCGACTGTCACTGCCTGGTGTTAAGAAGCCTCAGCCAGCAGAGCAGCCCGCACAGGGTCTCTCCCACACTAGAGAACCGATCCCTCAGCAGGAGCACTTGCTTGGAAATTACCGGTGAAAGCTTTTAGAGGATACTGATCCCCACCAATGGCATCTCATTCACATTTGTCAGATTCCATAAACACCACTCACAGGGAAGCCTTCCTGGGGCAATTTAGCAAAGGGACCCAAAATTAGTATCATTTTGCAGGAAAATAAATTAGGCCAACTTCCTTATATCATGAAACCACAACATGAGAACTCTCACAGTTCATTATAAAAATGAAAGCTGAGCTAATGTTTGCTTTTGAAAGTTTTTTTTTTAAAAAAAGGGAAGCTAGTTGCTTTCAGTAGGACAGTTCAACTAGATTACTATTCTCTCTATATTTTATCCTTTATCATCCTACGCCACAAAATGACACACTCCTTATATTTTTAAATATTTCTTATCACAAAAAAATTTCTTTTTGCTTCATGTCACGTTAGTGAAAATAATATATCTTCACCCCACAAGTGTCTCCTAAACATTATCTGTACTTTTCAGTTTCAGGTTAACAGCTTCCCACTGAATTCCCCCCTACAGCCATGCATCTCAACGGTTTCTCCATTGTGCTGCAATATTTTAGTACCTTAAGTGAAATAGTATTCAAACTATAATCATGACTCCTCCCATTTCTCTGCCCAATCTACAACAGGTGCAAGATACTGAATTGCTAACCAACCATTATTTCTGAGTAAAAACACCTTTTGGGCAGATCATCATCTGCTCTCCTCCTCTCTCGGAATGGTGCTGCACAGCCAGCGTCAAAACATGTGAAATAATACATGGATAGGTCTATAATACTTTTTTAACAGCTCTTTACAATATAAGTCAATTATAAAACCAGCCTTAATATAGAAACATTGTGTGTGATAATATTCTAACTGCAGCAATAATAGCATGCACATCAGAGTTCATCTTTAGTCCATAGATGGGGACTAGGGGGCTATGGAAGAAGGGGTGGTAGTGGAGGAAGAGGTGGCCTGCCGTGCACAAGGTTCCCAGGGAAGCCCACTTTGATCCAAGTGGCTCAAGCTCTCTTCTTGGCATCAGGTTCGTCAGGAGACCCCGCTGTTGGCACACATCTTTAGGGACGTCGACACCCAAATCACAGCAGTGGACAAGGGGAATCCTTGAATCACAAGAATTAAGGTGCCCCCACCCCCAGCCCGGCCCACCCGTCGGTTCCCCAGTGGTCCAGGGGCCAGCAGGAGATTTGGACGCGGAGTGAAACATCCTTTACTTAACCCCGGAAAGGGGTGAGTTGGAGTGTTGGGTGAGGCCAGAGAAGTTCTCCCTTTTCCACATGGTGGAAACATCAATGCCGGATTCACAGCACAACACCTGCAAGGTCCTTCCTGACCACTAAGACGGTGGTCGCTTCCAGCACCTTCCTTCGGGCTGGACCCACCACCTGGGTTTCAGAGGCACAGGTGGGGCCTGAGGTCGGTCAGGAACATATCAGCAAAGCTCCCCTTGCGGTCCACGTTTGTGACACGGACACCATCAGCCCCCCCACCGGAGACGTGCTTGGGACACCAGACAGCGTGTGAGTGAGCTCGGAGGACAGAGACAGAGGCGGCGGCGGCGCGACCCGGGGCGCGCGGTGCTAAGCTGCGTCCTGCCCGGGGCGCTCATTGCTTGTCCGAGTCGCTCAGATTCACGGACATGCAGCGACACTGCTTCACCTTCTGGATTTTTTTGAGTCGGAAAGGTGGGTCCAACCCGGGGCACTCGAGCTCCACGAGGACCGAGGTGACGCGCTGCGGCTTGCAGAAGGCGCACGACTGGAAGGACTCCTCCTCCTTCTTCACGTGGCGCGGGATGTAGAAGGAGTTGCACTGGCCGTAGCAGAAGCGGTTGAGGATGGTGCGGCTGCGGCAGCCCTCCTCGCTCACCGTCTGCCGCAGTGGCTGCGTCTTGCACCAGTCACTCTTGAGGTACTTGCGCTCGGTGACCACCAGGGCCTCCTGGCTGGAGGCCAGCACCTCCTTCATCTGATGCTGCCATCTCTCCGAGTTATTGCTGCTGCCGTCCTTGTAGGGCGAGGGGATGGCGCCCGCCGGCCGGTTCTTGCGCGCTTCTGCCACCTTCACCAGCACGGCCACCAGGAACAAGGACAGGGAAAGCTTCCAGAACATCCTGCAACGAGAGAAGAGTCGGGTTGGTTGGGAAGCGCGATCGACTGCGGGATCTATCGTTTCCCAACGGCCGCCAGGTGGGGCTTGGCTGCCGGCTGGCTGAGATGCTCCGGAGCAGCTGGGGCTAAGTGATTAAACAGTACCCTTGGGGACAGCTGTGACAGCCTCTAAAGAGCATCTCAATGGCTAGGAATTGGACAAAGTGTAAGTACTTTATAATACAGTTAGAAAACACGCATACCTTGAGCAATTACAGTAGCAGTAATAATGTCCGATGTTTACTGTGTTTTTGAATGTCCCAAGCCCCCCCCCCCAAGTGTTTTATATGCTCACCCCATTTAATCCTCAAATAGAGATGTTATCAACAGAAACCTGAAGTCCACAGAGTTTGCATCTTTTGCCTAAGGTTGTGCAACCACTGAGCAGTGCCCCAGAACCGGGAGTTGCTGCCCTACCTCCGTAGCCATCGAAATAACTTGCTTTATATAGATATTAGAAAAATTAATTACTAGAAAGTGAAGGAAAGCTGGGGCGTGGGTCAGAAATTTATTAAAAATCAGTAACAGGTAGAAGGTAAGCTAAAAAGCAATAGCTGCATCTAACAAAGAAATAACTTATCATTATGTATAAATGACAAATAGCACCAAGCATTTAACACTTGCACACATTCAGCTCATTCAAATGAGTCATAAGTTATATTTCTATAGTGGAAACTAATCCCTCATTTTTAATCAAGACATTACTAAGACTGCATTAAAACAAGTGACAACACAGAGGTTACCTATATGATGGATCATCTTTACAGTCTGTGTATTAAGAGTCTATGGCAGAAGTCCCACAGGAATGGGTATCAGTGAGAAATTATTCTTACTCTGTCTGAAACATGTCTCATAGAAGTGAAACCAAAGACTCTAGAATGAATGATCACTTCAAAGTTTAATCCATATGTTTTCATTTTATATTTTCATGAATTGTCTCAGGAACACTAATACCCAGCAACAGAGATAACCCCTGCCTCACTTTATAACTGTAACTCAACAGAGTCATTGTCATCAGTGCCATCATCTTCATGATTGCTCATTACTTGTCTACACATTGAAAGGCATAAATTCCCATTCCTTTAACATGTGTACTCTAACATGGACATGCAACAACCATGTCTATATCTATATAATTATGTAATTATATGATGTATATTAGTTGAATATTTGTCAGATATGAACATACAGAAATGATGAAAAATTAACTTTAAATGTGTTAAATTCCTTATATTACTACAAATGTCCTAAATCTATCCATGTTACTGATAATAGCTATTGTTCCCAAAACACACAAGACATTCTAACAGTTTCCTTTCATGTTTAGAAGTGTTCAATAGATCGGAGTTCTGTGAAATAGATACTATTATTTTTCCCATTTTATAGGTAAGGAAACTGAGGGATGGAGAGGTAGCATAACTTGGCAAGATCATACAGCCAGAAAGTGAAATATTGGAGTTCAGGCAGCCAGGTTCCAGAAACTGGGATCTCAGTGAGTGCAGCTGCCTCTTTGATAAAAATATTTATGTTGCAATATCTATACTAACATTATCTCTCTGTGTCACTGCTGTTAATCTAGGTCTATGACAAAAGGAGACTTTGCACATCACCTCTAGGCTGATTTCTTCCTTCATCAAGTATGCATGGAAAACTTATACTGAAATACACACCGTGATGGGCTTTGTGAATCCCAGTATCTCCTTCAGAGATGAAGGTGATGTTCTTACAGGGTCAGATGAGCTCTTAGAAGATCTATACCCTGGCCGGCGCCATGGCTCACTAGGCTAATCCTCTGCCTTGTGGCGCCGGCACACCAGGTTCTAGTCCCGGTCGGGGCGCCGGATTCTGTCCCGGTTGCCCCTCTTCCAGGCCAGCTCTCTGCTGTGGCCAAGGAATGCAGTGGAGGATGGCCCAAGTTCTTGGGCCCTGCACCCCATGGGAGACCAGGAGAAGCACCTGGCTCCTGCCATCGGATCAGCGTGGTGCGCCGGCCGCAGCAGCCACTGGAGAGTGAACCAACAGCAAAGGAAGACCTTTCTCTCTGTCTCTCTATCTCTCTCACTGTCCACTCTGCCTGTCAAAATAAAAAAATAAATAAATAAATAAATAAAACAAGATCTATGCCCCTGACTCTGTTCACTGGCCTCCCTACTGCTCTGCCCCCATGCTCGCTCTACTCCAGAATGCTATCCTTGTTTCTAGAAGATGCTTGGCATTCTTCTGCTCTAGACCCTACATCTGTCTTTCCCTCAAGTGTTCCCAGACTTTCTCCCTCAGTCTTCAAACTTTTGCTCAATCATCACCTCCTTAGTGAGGTCTTGGTGTGTAACTTCTCCATACTCCTAGCGTTCACCATCTCCGTCTTCCTGGCTTGCTTTTCTCCATGGTACTGATCATCAGATAAGATTGTATTCAGTGATCTGATTGATTTTTATTGTCTGACTTCCTTGGAATGAAAGTTTCATAAAAGAAGGTCCTGTTTTGTCTATTGTTGTGTTGCCTACAATTAGAACTGTTCCTGGTAAATAGTAAGCACTCGTTAAATTTGTGTTGAATGAGATGAGAATATCTTGTATCCCATTGCCTTCAACAAGCTTGTCACTGAGAAGCTACAGAAAGGCAAGCAAATACCCGAGTATGCAGTTATATAGAAACAACTGCCTGTGTTCCCAGGGGAGTGATCCTAGCACCAAGAGCATCTGAATCACCTGGGCTGCTCTAGACACAGATTCCTGGGGTCCTCTCAGAAGCTTTCTAATTGGTAGAGTTGGGCTGGAGTTTAAGATCCTTATTTTTAAGAATTGCCTCGTGTAATTTCAATGATACCATTTGTCCTGAAGGATAGAAAGGGTAGAAGTAGAAAGCACCTGTTCTTGCTGGAGAGGAAACAGGAGGTTCCTACAATGTAACAACTAAGTAAGCTCTTCAAAATTCAAATAGCGGGAGCCGGAGCTGTGGCCTGTCAGGTAAAGCTGCCACCTGCAGTGCCAGCATCCCATATGGACGCCAGTTTGAGTTCTGGCTGCTCCACTTCCAATCCAGCTTTCTGCTATGGCCTGGAAAAGCAGCTGAAGAGGCTCCAAGTGCTTGGGCCCCTGTACCCATATGGGAGACCCAGAAGAAATTCCTGGCTCCTGGCTTTGGATCAGCTCAGCTCCAGCCACTGTGGCCAACTGGGGAGTGAACCAGCAGGTGGAAGACCCCCTCTCTTTCTCTCTGCCTCTCCTTCTCTCTGTGTAACTCTGACTTTCGAATAAATAAATAAATCTTTAAAAAAATCAAATAGAGGGGCCGGTGCTGTGGCACAACAGGTTAACACTCTGGCCTGAAGCACCAGCATCCCGTGTGGGCTCCAGTTCAAGTCCCAGCTGCTCCACTTCCAATCCAGCTCTCTGCTATGGCCTGGGAAAGCACTAGAAGATGGCCCAAGTCCTTGGGCCCCTGCACCCTTGTGGGAGACCCAGAAGAAGCTCCTGTCTCCCATCTTGGATCGGCATAGCTCCAGCTGTTGTGGCCAACTGGGGAGTGAACCATCGGATGGAAGACCTCTCTCTCTCTGCCTCTCCTCTCTGTGTAACTCTGACTTTTGAATAAATAAATAAATCTTTAAAAAATTCAAATAGAATTCCTCAAGGTGATGATACTGTTAAAAGCAAAGAACTTAGATAATATTGATGACATTGAGTAAGGGGAGTAAAAAAATTGACAGCAAGTGAGGTGTAAGGGAAGACTTTTCTTTAAATATAAAAACATTTTGTCCAAAATATTTATTGACATTTTATGGCCAAGGTTTTAAAGGGATTTTCTCATGCTTCCTTAGTCCCACACATAAAGTGTTATATGAAAGTGGCCATGTTTCCACAGAGTCATGGCAAGCACTAAGTGTTGGATACGCTCAACTTACACAAGTTATTATATTTGCTGGATGATTTGTGATCTCAATAGCCTCTTAAAAAGAAATTATTTTGTTCCATTTTAATAATTTCTGAAATTATTAATAGTCTGAGTAAACACAACCAAAAGTTTGCAAGTCCCAGCCAGGAAAGATTTACAGAATCAGCTTGCTTCCCAACCCCTCCTTTCAGTTAACAGCTCCACACGCACCTCTGATAGACTCAAAACTATGTGCTTTCATGCAACAGACCATAGTCGGTTGTCAGGAGAACAGAACTAAGACGTGCAGAGAGATGTAAGGCAAAAACCCGTTGTGTCAACAGTTATCACACATGGTGATGGGCAGCATGCATGCTTTGAAGGTTTTCAAATGTTTTCAAAACATCTGGCAATCATCCTTAAAAGTTGTTTCTCACAAGAACCAAAGAAGAAAAGCAAACTGCTGATGAACTCTAAGTGACTGGGGCCAAGTCAGGTTCTTCTCTCCTTTTCCCATCATCCCTTACACCTGACAACAGTAATACTGCCAAGGAGCTGGTGTCTCAGTGTTAGAACAAGTAGATAGGCAAGAAGGGACTGCTAGGCTATATGCTCTTTAGAGACTCTACAGCAATGCAGCCAACTACTCTGCTGGTCCTTGGTTGTGGAGGGGGCATATGGGAAAGAATGTGCATGGCTCTGTCTGCGGTTCACTAACCATCCTGTGCACACTTGTTAGCACTTTGGAGTCTTACTCTGTCCCAGACCACTTTGCCACTCAGAGAAATGGTTGGCATACAATTAATCTCTCAGGAATGCTGCCACAGCTGCCAATAATGACAGCACCAGGGTACTTGCATTTTACTCTCACATTTGTGTTTGGCTTGTTTCAGAAGAAACCATAAATAAATTCTGCTGTTTTATTTTAAGCTATCCTTCTGGCCTACCAACACTGTCCATTTGTAAGGGGTGTCATGACAGTAAATGCTGATGACCTAAGCAGACTGGGTTAGCCAAAGCTGATTGTGCAAAGAGAGAGGTAGTAGAAGTACTTTTCTCATACATGAACACTCTCAGGCCTGGCATTTGTAAATACCAAAGACTGCAAGGTCAAAGCAGTTTAGGATCTTTGAATTTAATAATTATAGGCCTCTTTCCCTTTATCAAAGTATCAAAACCTGGAGAAGGGTTCTACATTAAGAGATTAAGCAACAAATGTTCCTGATTTCTAGCAGAAAGGATACAGCAGAGCTAAATCATCCTTAATAGATGTATGCAAGTAACCAAAGGTCAAGGGTACAGCTAAGCTGATGAACTCAGTCTTTGAGTAATCTTGTTCAGTTTTGGAGTTCAGGTCAAGCCAGTACTATGCTATACAGGAATGGTGAAGAGAAAGAGGCTGAAGCATTTTCTGTTACAGAAGAATTCTAGAACTTCCTTTGAAGGTTGAAGGGGAGTGCCCAGGCCTGAATATTGATAAACTTGCTTCCACCACCCAAAAGAAAACAGACTGAATACCAAACAAAAAACTCAGAAGCAAAGTTCTCAGCATTGTTAAATGTCAGAGATTATTTTTGTGAGTTGTATTGTCGCAGCCTCCACAACCAAAGGAACTTCATCCCTAACTTCGAGTCTTCGGTAGGGAAGCTCTAGAGATGGGTGTGGATGTTCCCTGGCCCTGGAAAATCCTCACAGGTTAAGATAGCTTGTCTGTTGAAACCATGCACCTCACCTCCAGCAGCTATAAACAGAGATAACTTACAGCCCACGGACCAAACCCAACCCAAGGTTTGTAAACAAAGTTGTATTGGAACAGAGCCACATCCATTCATGTATGTTTTGTCTATGGCTGCTTTTGTGCTCCAAGTGCAGAGTGGGTAGTGAAGACAGTGACCATAAAGTCTGCAATATTTGCTATCTAGTTTTTGACAGAAAATATTTGCCAAGTCCCACACCAGGCTTTTTCTGCTCAATTCAGTCATTGCCTTTCCTTTATGGTTGTGCTCTTTTGCCAGAAAAGTAGCTTTCAATTTTAAAACTTCTAACTATGAAACATCTCAAGATAGAAAAAAATGGCAAACCCTATATACACCACACTGAGCTGAAAACAATATTGATATTTCCCATGTTATTTTGCAGTCTCTCCATTTTGAAAATAATAACATAAATATAGGTAAGGCGGTATCCCTCCCTCCATTCACATACTTCCTTGAGATGCTCAGCATCCTGAAGTTGGCATCTGTCAATCCGGTTGATGCTCTTGTGTATGCAGGTATAATTGTGTGTGCAATTAGTCTTTACATTTACACCTTTCATCCCCAAATACATGTTTGAGATTTGAAGCAGGGACTAGTCATAAAAGGAGCCTGTTCATACCTACTGCTGAATATCAAAGCACAGTTCATCATTCATCCTACTGAGGAACAGTTGCATTACATCTACTTTTTCACTATTGGGAATAGTGCTGCACTGAACATTGTTGTATTTATTTATACTCATCTGTTAAGGGTGTGCCTAAGAGAAACACAAAAAGGTAGAAATGCCAGGTCATAAGATGTCCAGATCATAAGATGGTGAAGGTAAAGAGACTGAAAAAGTTTGACAAAGTTTTCCTAAGTTACTTTACAAGTACTTGCACAGTCCCCACCACTGAACACCCTTGCTAACACCTGGTGTTACCTGATTCATTACTTTTTGCTTACCTGAAAACTTTGAAATGTTATGATTAATTTAATTTGCATCTCTCTGATCACAAGGAGATTGTACATCCAGCTCAAATGCAGTGGTCATATGACTGAAAAGGAATGATGGCAACTTATTTGAGGTGGGAACAATTATACTATTAGGTAAGGAAAAACAAGACACTCTAACTACAGATCTTCTGAAGTATCATGAAAAGAATTTTCAAAAAAGAAAGGTTAGGGCATCCCATATGACTCAGAAGTTTGAAATCCAAATGGCCTCATTTACTTTTCCAAGTGGCATTGCCTGCGTGGAACACTGATGATTATTTTGTTCCAGGAAAATTTTAATTTCATGTGGAAAAATGATATTTTTTCAAAAAGGTTTTCAACCAAATTAAAAAGGATACTATCATCATGTACTTTGCCTTCTGGGTGCCACGTGTATCATTTGGAAATTTGTAATCAAAGTTCTGAATCTTTGGAGATATCATTGGGATAAATTCAGGACAGGAAATGGAACACTGAGACAAGTTGGCAGCAAAGCATTAAATTAAATAAGGACTTGGGGAAAACTCTTTGAAAGTTGTAAGTTTGTCCACATGGGGTTACTGCTCTCTAGGTCATGTCCACTTGGGAAGGGGAGGGAGAAGGTGATTTCTGTGCCCTGAGTTGCTGGTGCATGACACTATGCAACTCACTCCCAGGCTTCTATGATTCCTCTCGATAAAATGGTGTTAATGGCACTTGCCAACCCCTATTACCATGTTGCCATTATGAGGAATTGTGGCACCAAAAGCGAGTCCTAATCTAAGAACTGTCTGAGAAATATTACCATGAGTTTTATCTGAAAGGAAGGAAGAAATTATGAGTGATCCATTCAGGGTTTTATGGCCAGTGACATTGTACTCCACAGCCATAGGCAGTCCTTAATTTTTTTTGAAATAGGAATTTTCAGGTTGTTGTCCAATACAGCTCAGACATTGCCCTCCAGCGGGTCTGCAATGATTCCACACTTCAAATCCCCTTCCTCCAACCATCCCAGGCAGAATCATGTGATAAGTGAGAGGTCACATAGCAGTCTTCTATTTCCCTGGCAGCAGAGTACAGATTTTCTGTCCATGTGTGTATAAAATTTAGAGTCTTATCTAAAATTTTTTAAGCAAAATCAAAAACACCCTGTGTATGGACTCCATCAACTTTTCCTGCTCATTCTTCCTTCAAGCCACTTCATTCTTCTTGTCTGATAGTTCATAGCAAAAGTGAAAGAGTAGAGAGTAAAGCCTTAAAAAACTATGTACCCCCTCTTCACTTCCTCTGGAATTCATGAGAAACTAAGGCTCCATTCGCTTTAGTCCATTGATCTTCCTAGATCTTTCTTTCTGTGCTCTCCTCTGAAAAGTTGGTATTCCCAAGGATCTTTTCTATAACCTTGTCTTTTCATTCCTCACATTTCTATGACAAATTTCATTCATGCTGATGGCTTCAAACACCAACTCTTTACTCATAGCTCCTAGACCCTATACCCAACTGTTTATCCAACCTTATTCAAGTGACCTATCAGCATACAAATTCTATTTGTTCTACATCTCATTATATTTTCCCATTCACCTACTCCTCCTCCAACAGTACCTGTCTCAATGAACAAGACATTTCTTGTGGGGAGCAACTCGGACTAGACTAAGTTACTGGAATTAAGACTTATTCTATGCATCTGCTTTCCCACAATATGGCGCTGAGAAGGGAAACAGCTTCTACACAGCTGCCTCCAGTTCAACCAATAAACTGTAGGACCTGCTCCTGATTGGAGGAGAGCAGCGTACTCGGCGTGTGGGTAGCAGAGTTGGGATTGGTGGAAGAGGACTATAAAGGAGGAGAGAGACAACATGCACGGGGAACATCTAAGGGGAACATCTGAAGGAACATCTGTGCAGCCCCCGAGAGAGCCGGCCGGCGGTGTGCCACTCCCCCGCGGAAGTGGGGAAAGTGGCTAGGGGGAACCGCCCTTCCACGGAGGTGGAAGGGACGGTAGCCAACCCAGGAAGAACCAGCAGCAAACCCGGGGAGGGCCGAGCAGACGAAAGAACAGCGCAGGGTCTTGTGTCGTTCCTCCACGAAGACGGGGAGCGACATAATGGTGCCGTGACTTGGATATGAAGCCTAGGCAGGGTTCAGTGTCGTTCCTCCACGAAGACGGGGAGCGACAATTTCTCTTTAACCTAAGCCAGAAAGTTGAGAGTTAAGGCAGACACTGTTTAATGTACCACCTGAGAGCCAGTGTCTCCATTCTTTCTTAACATAACCAACATTCTGCTCAAGTATTGCATTCCAAATTCTTCACAAACCCTTCCACATTCCATGGAGGTGAAAGATTGCTGGCCCAAGCCAATAGGTCATCTCATTCTCCTTGCAGATGATTGATTTAGGCATAAGCAATGACATAACTGTGATGAATAAGATGCAAGGTACAGGTTGCTGGGAAAGCATTTTATTCCCTGATTAAAAGAGACACGCCAGGAGAAAACACTAGTCTAGGTTTTGGTTATGTTTATAAAGAAATGTAATGATTAAGGCTGTTACAGCCTCCACAGGATACAAGAGTGGCATAAAAATCACATACCTGCAGTACAGAGTCCAAACTGGAAAGTAACTGGATTGTTGTTTATGTTGTTAAGTCACTGAACTAGTCAGCCCCCAAGCAACTTACCTATGGACTTTATGTTTGTTAAACTCTTTAAGAGTCAAAATACTTTTGCATAGTTACTGAAGAGTATCTGAGCTGAACCTCTCATGTATTAAATCCATTAACAAGATATCATTGTCTTTTGCACCCCACTTTTCAATCCTGCTGTCACTACTTTAGTTCAGGTCCCTGTCACCTGACCATTATGATCGTCTCTTTACTGACCACCCTGCCTCTACACTCAGATCTGTCTCAGACTCACACGCTGTCAGATCCATCATCTAGACTCCTGGCAGGGTGAACAGCTTAACAGCCAACTCATTCCTTTAAATTAAACCCTTTAAAGAATTCCCATGAATTACAAGTTCAACACCTTTGGCTCCTATATAAGTCTTCTGTGGACTTTGCTCTTGGATTTCAGCATATAGTATCAGCTCTTTACCTTCTACTTTATGCTTGAAACATATAAACCATGTGTTTTACCCTACTCCAGGCTACTTCTCTCATTCAAACATTAGCCCAATTATTTATTTTGGCTGAAAAATTGTTTCTCAGACCATTGTTAGTCATTTAGGTTTCATTCAAATGCTAATTCTTTTGTGAAATCATCATATCTTCTGTATTCTTCATTTTTGCTATTGTCATAACTGCTTTTCTATAGCCTATAGACATTGTATGGCCATTATCTGCACATTTTCTATGAGTGTAAGTAAACAAGGGAATTTAATTTAATTGTATTTACAATGACTCATGGTAGATCCAAAACATAGTTCTGAATGTTTAGTATTAAAGAATGAATGAAAGACTGGGTGATTGCAGATGTTGTGGAATAGCAGATTAAGCCATCGCCTTGATGCCACCAATATGGGCACTGGTCCATGTCCCAGCTGCTCTACTTCTTTTTTTTTTTTTTTTTTTTTTATTAATAAGTTTTTATTTCAATTTATTAGAAACATTTCTATACATTTTTTTTTATCTTTTATTTAATGAATATAAATTTCCAAAGTACGTCTCATGGGTTACAATGGCTTTCCCCCCCATACCGTCCCTCCCACCCACCACCCACCACCCTCCCCTTTCCCACTCCCTCTCCCCTTCCATTCACATCAAGATTCATTTTCGATTATCTTAGTATACAGAAGATCAGCTTAGTATACCTTAAGTAAGGATTTCAACAGTTTGTTCCCACACAGAAACATAAAGTGAAAAATAATAGATGATTTTTTTTTAAATGATGATGAAATCAGATCAGACCTATTGTCATGTTTAATCCCAGTGAGAGTCAAGTTGGGAATTGATAGTTTCTTTTCTTTTTTTTTTTTTTTTAACAGAAGATCAGTTTAGTGTACATTAAGTAAAGATTTCAACAGTTTGCACCCCCATAGAAACACAAAGTGAAATATACTGTTTGAGTACTCGTTATACCAGCTGCTCTACTTCTGATCCAGCTCCCTGCTAATATACCTGAGAAAGCAGCAGAAGATGGTCCAAGTCCTGCACAGGTGGGAGACCTGGAAAAAGCTCCTGGCTTCCACCTTCTTCCTGGTTCCAGTCCTGGCTGTTGCAGCCACTTGGGGAATGAGTGAGTGGAAGAAGAAGACCTCTCTGTCTGTATCTCTGTAACTCTGCCTTTCAAATAAACAAATGAATCTTTATTTTTTAAACATTTATTTTCATTTATTTGAAAGAGTTATAAAGAGAGGTAGAACAGAGAGAGAGGTCTTCCATCCTCTGGTTCACTCCCCAGATGGCCACAATGGAGAGAAGTCTGGGTGACTGAATAGATCTTATACTGGTATAGGTGTGATTAGAGGGGAAAAAAAATCCATAGGGCGATGCTATGGTGTAGTAGGCTAAGCCTCTGCCTGTGGTGCCGGCATCCCATATGGGTACACGTTTGTGCCACAGCTGCTCCTCTTCAGAACCAGCTTTCTGCTATGGCCTGGGAAAGCAATAGAGGATGGCCCAAGTGCTTCGGCCCTTGCAACTGCATGGGAAACCCACAAGAAGCTTCTGGCTTCTGGCTTTGGATTGGCCCAGCTCCAGGCACTACAGCCATTTGGGGAGTGAACCAGAGGATAGAAGACCTTTCTCTCTGTCTCTCTCTCTCTGTCTGTAACTCTACCTCTCAGATAAATAAAAAACCTACAAAACCATAATAAAAAGTTTGAAAACTATGTTAACTCTAGAAATAAGAAGTGTTCATTCACAACAACAAAAAGAACCTCCGATCATGGAGCATCTCCTTAAGAGAGGTAACTAACTGATATTTATATTCATGTATTAAATAAGTATTTACCAAAATGTGAAACAAATTTATATTATTATATCCAAATAGTTATTCACTTTAATGAGTTAGCAATTCACAGGAAAAATGTAAACAATTTGAACTTTATGGGCACAGAATTAAAATTTAAGTTTACATGCAAACTTTTTGTTACAGAAAAGAATGATAGGAGGAAAGTAAAATATTCAAAAGTAAAACATTCAAATATTAAACCTATTAGGAAAAAGCCCTGTGGATGAAACAAGAATGAAAAATGGATTCAAGGACAAAAAGAAATGGTATAAAACTTCCTTTTAAATGAGTATTTTAACATGGATTTTTAAAAATTACATAATCCTGAGCATAAAATAGTGACAATATTGAGATCCCTCTGAAGACAGTAAAAAGAGTGTTGTTGACCATTTTATTTTGAAACTTTCTGTTTGTGATATTTTTTAAATGATATCCACCTCAAATTATAACTCAGTTAAAAACATTTGTGATAGATAGTAAAGCTTGAGAACTCGAAATGTTTAGACAGCAGTTCCATGAAGCACAGGGAAGTATACTCTATATTATATCATAATTACTTGTGAGCACAAGAATTGCACTAATGATGCTGGGTGAGAAGAATCGTTGTCCTTGAACTCCTTGATGCATAAAACTGTTAAGGCCACACGTAAATGCTGTGAAGAAAGACCTCAGGCTTCATTGTGCTCTGATTGACTCACTCACTCATGTCTCTCAGATTCTGCAACCTCTCTTTCCTGACAGTTTTTCAAAACACTCTGTTGGCTAATAGGTCCAGTAAGGACTGGAAAATCCCATATTAAGTAATTTAATTGAAACAAGAAGTCTGGTTTGGTTGGTGTTAAGTCCTATGTAGTCAACCTTTTCCAAGTTAGCTCCTATTGACAACGGATGCTGGATTCAGACAAATTAGAGGGCAAATTCAAGGCTGTCAACCAAAGAAAACAAACATAATCAGGGACAACCAGGAGACTTAAAACATGCCAGTAGAAATGGAACTGTGGAAAAAATGAAGAAAAAAGTGTTGAAAACATTAAAAATGAATACAAACACCAAAAGCACTCTTCCTTTATGAATCCATAGTAAGCAGCACTTTTATTAAAGTTGCATACATTGATTCATTCCTCCACTCTACATGCACCATGTACTTTCCTAGGGGTTGAGTTACAAAGAAAAATCAGACAATGGTTTCAACCCAGGAATGAGACAAATACACAAAAAGTGATACTAACCCTGAAATAGCAGACTAGCTAATTGACTCTGAGTAATATGTGAAAGAAATGATGTGTGCTTGAACCAAGGAGTGATGGGGGTGGAGGAGAAGGGAACATGTCAGATATTTGGCTTTAACTTGTTGGAGTGATTGATTGAATGGACCCAGAATGAGGAAAGAGGGGAAATCTAGTCATCTGCTTTGGGCAACTGGATGACAGATCTAGAGCTAGGGGCTGCTATGCCCTGGGATAGAGAGGATCAGAAGAGCTGGCTGATGGGGTCAAGGGCTCTTTATGGTGCAAGGGGTAAAGAAGACAGCCCTCAAGATGCAGATCAGAAGTGTTGTCCTGCTCTGTGGGGACATAAGATCACCCAGGGGGAGGGTAAGAGCAGAAATGGGCTGCCACTGGGGCTCAGGAAGATCAGCTTTTCAAGGAAGGAGAGAAAGGAAACTGCAGAGGTAGCCAAGGGGAAAAACAAGAGCAGCAAAGGTGGAGAAAAGTCAGGCAAAGCAAAGGCAGAAAAGTCTTTCCTGGATGGGCAGAGGTGAGTGTGGCAAAGGAGTGCCAGGAAAGCCAGGAAGGTGAGGGTGGGGGGAGGCAGGATCGCAGTGTGCAAGACCTGGGTGCAAAGCCTACGGCATTCTGTTTGTAAAGTTTTCAGAGATGGCTGATGAACCGTAATTCATCTAGCCTTCCAAATAAAAGATCCACGCTGAGTGA